TCCAGCCGGACTTGAACCGTTGACCTTGACTGTGGAGGGTATGGGAGCTTAACCGCTAAGCTATGGGACCCACACCCTCATAAATAATATTTATATACAGCCAAAATACTGTTTTTGCTTTATAAAAGTTTAAATATTTGATGTTATAAGAATTTTGTCTATAAATATAGAAAGAACTTTTTTTTTTAGACTTTTAAATATTTTCTCAAATAGCTTTGCTAATATTGCATTTTAGAGCAAAATAATCTATTGTTTGTTTTTAGTCTGGATAGCTAAGACAATTTCTATCAATATTTCTGTTTATATATATTAGCCTATATTTTTAAAAAAAAGTAACACAAATTTTTAACAGTGTTATTAGACTAATAAAAGTTTATAAAAACTTTTATTGTATATTATAAAATAAACTAAACAACAAATATATATAGAAAAGTATATAACTAACAAGATTACTAGAACTTATTGAAAAAAAGAATACAAAAGTATACTATATCAGAACATTTAGATTAGTAGTTTGTAGAGTTAAAAACTATATCAAAAAAGAATTAGTATAAAAAAATAAAGAAGTTAAAAAGAAAACTACTAAAGTTTAGATAAATTTTACAAAAGTAGAAATAGTATAATATAGTAATTTAAGGTCAGTATTGATTGCAAATATTAGGTAACTATAATGTGTTATATAAAACTAAATTAACTATATATAAAACATGAAAGACTAATAATTATACTTCTAAGAATAATTTGTATAAAATAAGATAAAAATTTCAAAAATATAAATAAGTATTTAGAACTTTTTAACTGATATATGTATTAATAATATTCTAGTAACACAATAGAAATTGCAGTATAGAGAATTTAAATAGACAATACTTATAGTTGAATTACAAATATAACAACTAGTATAAAACTATTAATAATATAAGAGCTAGTATAGAACTATTGATAGACTACTTAAATTAAATACCAAAAGCATATATATAACTAGTTGTACTCTTTAATATAAAAGTGACTTCATTGAGGCTTTGGCTGTAAGTTCCTATATTCTATAATACTAAATAAAAAACCTTAGTTCTTAAAAAGACTAGTTTAATATAAAATAATAATAATAATTACATCTAATATAAAAAAAAGCTTTAATTAAAATTAAAATAAAAATAAACTCAAATAAAAATCTAAACTAGTGAAGAATGTATAATATAAAAGAAACTTAAATTAGAATCACATTTATAGTGTTCTTTTAGAGCATTTTATTATTAATTATCAAGATATGATCAAACCTTTATCCGAGTTATGATCGACATCCTTTCCGAAGTATTTTATCAACCAATCAAAACGAACTTCTGCTATGCCGTATAACGTAAAGTGTTCTTAAAAATTTGGTAATACCTTGAAATTTCACTTATAAAAAAAATTCCTTGCAAATTTTGATATATGTCATGTTATAATTTCAAGTTTACCCTAACTCTAACGATAATATTTATTACTTTAATTCGATTGTTTTGATTTTCGCTGATTGGCCAAACTCACGTGACTGTCGCTTTTTGTTGCAACCATGGTACATATACCGGATTACCATTAAATATTTCCATTTAAAATCATTTGATTCTGAAGTATTGATTTGACAGTTTTACGCAGCTTTATAATTTAATTTATACACAATTAGTAAAAATCCAAATTACATATTTAAATTAAAACCAATTTTAGAAGTAGACCCGTTAGCACTATCACACTATTCTGATCAGGCACAGCATATTCACAGCATTTAAATTGGCTTATATAGACAGATTAGTAAATCAGAACACAGACACTTGCATAAATTTTCAAGCAAAAAAAGTCAGAACGCGAAAAGCCATTCACCTATACAGACCATCCTGTCATTTTCTTATTTGACAACCGGCCTGCTTCGAACAAGTAGGAATCATCGTCTGATATGATTACTTCTCATGTATTTTACCCAATAACAAGAGAGGAGGCTTTTTTAAGAACAATTAGTAGTTCATGTGATTTCAATCATTCATCCATGTATAACGCACAAAGCTAAATTAATATAATGCCAAGACGATAGTGGTTTTTCAATTCTTAATATTTCTGCTACGTAGTTTGATTGCTCTATAGTATTTTATAATTGTGAAACTTTTAATTTCTAAATAAAAAAAATTTTTTTTCTAAGCTAAAAAAATAGTGTAGCACTAGTTTATAATAACCATTGTTTTTACGCCTAAAATTATTTTGTACACTAATCTATGCCATATAATAATAACTGCAGTATACTGTATAATATTATATGACATAACCAAAGTAATTAAATTCGATCCAAGAATATACAGTAATAGTGATGTTAATCGACTTGTTTGACTCTATTCATGAATCAGTTTTTATCATAATAAATATACAAGCAAGTAACTAATTAGCAGATTACTTGAGAATACAGATTCAGAGAGAATTCTAATAAGACGCTCCACGAAAAATAAACTCAATAAATTGAGAAATTGTAGGTATGTATTACGTAGAAAGTCATTGAGATAGTATTAACCATACAGTTTTAACTAAATGATAATATGCATCTGTATATAAATTTAGAATATGTTATGATATTTTATACTGGGTGAAGACATACGTTTACGTTTTTGATATTTCTTGTTCAACTGTCAAATTTATGTATCACTCTCGTTCTCTGAATAGACAAAGATCTTGTACTATAATGCATCTAGTGCTATCAAAAATACGTCTCAAACAAGGGTAATTGACTAATAAATCTATCTAAGTCATTATAAAATGCATCTAAAAGTACCGTCGCATTTATTTACTAAACCTAACATAATGTAGGTTATACTTGCATACAAAGTAACTAGGTAGGCACAATAGAAATAAAAATGGTAGCATTATAATGCTTGAGAAGAATACAATGTTTATCTTCGGTATTTCATTGTGATAAGACTGCTAAAATATGTATGCATTTTTTTGGAACGGCGTAATTCTCGTGTTGAAACTATAATCTAATAATAGCAAAATTAAAAATATATAGTCACTCATTCAGGTGAGTTTTTTAATTACAATAATATAAAAAGCGCGGTACCTTACTACTATTATTTCTTTAGTTATGAACTCTTCAAAAATATTTAAATTATCCTGATTTTATAAGCGAATATACTCAAATAGGATGAGCAACCTCAACAGCCCACCTACTGATTTCACACTAAATGATGATGAAATAAGAACAACACCAAATCTTAATAACGTAAAGCTTCCAACAATACCGATGAAAAAACTTCTATTTCAAAAAATTAAAAGATTTATGGAAATAATGAGCTATTTTCGACTGATGTTTGCGTTAACTCTTTATATCTTACTTTTAATCGATCTAATTAGTATACAACAAAATAAAGAAAAGTATTTTTGGATTGAAATTTTATTACAGGTTCATATGAAAATTAGTGCGATATATATTTTGTCCTTTCAAGCTAAATATATATTAACATCAAAACTGCTCAGGTTATCAACGCAGAATTCACGTTACTTACTCTAATAGAGCATCCAAAACGACTAAAAAATTTGTTAAGAGCCATTCGAATTTGGGCTGCAAATCACCGTGCAAAAAGTTCTTCGAGGATTCAAAAACTCAGCGAGCCTGATGATTCTTTTAATTCAATATCCCAAACGGATACTCATTCGACACCTAAACCAGAAAAATTGGTAATAGCTGTAAAAGTTTCATTAGAACTTCCACCATCCATAAAAAATTTTCAAAAACTTGTATCTCAAAGTTATGGATGGTATTTATATGATGTCGAAGATAATTCATTGATTTGTTCACCAGCAAAGTTATCAATTATTTTGATTACTTGGAATATTGGGAGTTTCATGCAATATGGAATTTGTGGTATGTTTTTGTGTAACCATTCGCGTACATGTAGGATTGCGTAAACTTTAAAACTTGTGCTAACATAAAACATTCCTGTAACCTTGTGTGACTACCTAATTTTCTCATCTATCGGACATATCCAGCAATCTTATGGTTAATGACACCAATGAACCGTCCATATGTTCCATATTTAACATTAACAACAATATCCATGTTTTGTGAACTCGTTCCAATTCCTGTGGTAGTCATTCAATCAAAACGTGCGTTACTGGCTAAACGTTTAGTAATGGATAATTCTGAAAAATCTACTTGTAACAATGTTTAGTACGTAGCCAATAATGTCAGATCCTTTGCAATCAATTGCAGCCTTCTTATCATTTTTATATATACAAATACGAAAGAAAAATTTCCAATGTAAAAAAGAAGTGAAAACTGATGTTTTTGGATAAAAATACCAAGTTTTATACAAATGCACAAAAAAATAGTGCGTATGTTTTTTACAAAAATTAGTTAATGTTAATGATTGGATATTATTCCGATTCTGTATTCTTTTATAAAAAATCAGACCAGAAAGGTCATTCTTATTTACTGGTTATAGACAGAAGTTCGTCTGATTGGCTAATAAATTCAATTTAATTTTACATTGTTTATATAGTTTAGAGTACTTTTTAAAAAACCGAAAACCGACCATAGTAAAGTAAAAAAAAGACATATATGGTTTCATTAGAGCTATAGGACTTCATAGTCAAAAATAAGATCTAATTTTCATTTGTTTAAAAAAATTAGCTTAGTAATAAGTTGATTTTATCGGGTTTTGAGAAGTTATTACTATACTAACTTTTTTAAACGGACGAGAATTAAGATCTTATTTTTGGCTATAGAGTCCTACAGCTCTAAAGAAACCTTCCATATGGTTTTTTTTTACTTTATTATAGTTGGTTTTCGTTTTTTTAATAAGTACTCTAAACTGTATAAATAATGTGAAATTAAATTGAATTTATTAGCCAATCAGACAAACTTCTGCCTATGACTCTAACCCTAACATTAAGGTTTTATTGCTTTAAATCTTTCGTTTATTTGATTGTTTTTATTTTGCGTTTGTCACATTAACATGGTTTTACAATCTGATTGGTAATTACCACCAAGTTACTCGATTTGATTGAATGTTCCAATCCGCACACCGAATTAGGAAGAAAATTGTGTGATTATCGAGAATGTTTCGTGGAGAATAAAAGCGGAAATTGGTGTTAGCGATAATAATCAGAGCCCGTCAGTGGTAATAAATTATTTATACAGTTACATGTGCATTAATTAATTGGAATTCAAAAGACTAAAGTCGTTCTTTTTTTAGGATATTCCTGCAGAAGTTGTCAAGCAGACTGAGAATGACTTTGATAAACGCAATTTGAAAATTTGGGTCAACAAGAGGCACTTTCAATTTCCGAAATTATGGTCCGAATTCACCTGAGGATACAACTTCGAAAGTGGCTGCAAAGGAACAACTTAAATATGCGGATCCCAGTTAAAGAAAGCAACAATACCGTAAAACATTTCCGATACAACGTGGTGTGATCGTTAACTGTGAAGAATTAGAAGCCATATGGTACCCACTTTACAAAATCTTTAATGTTTAATGCTCTGATTAATTTGTTGTTTACCCAAGAATTTTATGGTCATCATTGATAGGCGTCACGTTATTTTGAAGGAATTAAACATCAAAAGAACTCGCAACAAAATGTCCAGTGCTTATTATAGTCCCTAATAGTTGGACAAAAGAACATTTTGAACGAATAGCACATATTTTTTCGAAACTTTTAATGCACCTAGCCTTTATATTGCCAATCAAGCTTTGATGACTCTGTATGGTATCGGTTGTCTTAACGGCCTTGTAATTGGTATATATAAAATTGGCAAAATTTTATTTAAAATAAATGCACCTATTTTTATAATGTTTATAACTATTAAATCATAATAAATTTTAATTAGAAATCACTCCAATAATTGATTGCTCCATCCAACATCACACAGCTCTGACGATACCAATTGCTGGTCAAGATTTTGATGAATATTTTCTTTCAATTCTGCTATCTGGCACCCAATTTGAACTCGCAAGAACACTCGAGGAATCTGATATTTGTGAGGTTCTTTTAGATGTTGATTTCATAGAGGATAGCCCAAATAGAATAGAAGCTGAATATAATGGAAGGAAGGTCAGATCTTACTACAATTACTTAGACATTTTTATTAGATGGCTATAATAAATTACCTGGATAAAAATTCTCTTGACGGGTTACAATCTCTGCATATATTATGCTTATCATATGCTTATTATTTTAACACATTTCATAATCGATCGAAACAGTTTACAATTGATCTTGAACGTTTCCAAGTTATCGAACCTATTTTCGACCCTCTTCTAATTGAGGCTATTTATCGGGCAATATCCTATTGCGAGCCAGACAAACGAACTACATTATGGGATAATATTGCTTTTACTGGCGGTTCATCTTTACTTAAAGGTGAAGTATTATTTTTAATTTATTGTACAGATTATATATCGGATATATTGTTGATTATAGAAACTATCAAATGAATCTATGGTGTTCGACATCATATATATGTTCATGTTATTTATTTTCTGGAGGAGCCGGATTATTTGGCCGGTTTTGAGGCAATTATGTATTTAACACCTACGATGTATTTTAATAGACTTGGATAGTGTAATAATACTATTAATATTTACTACCAGGCTTTAAAGAACCTCTTGAAAAAGAGTTAGATGTATATATTTATACTTTGGACAATGCTGGCGAATACCAAATCAAAGAAGCAAGATTTTTAAAATTACCCGAGTATTTTTCAGCTCTTAAAGGTAGACCAGCTGTCATTACAGCTAAAGTAAGTTTATATTTCAATTAATTGTATTTATAAAATTATTTTAAATGAAATTATATATGCTCATTTTATGTTTGGTTTATTGTACTTTGAAGCTTTCTTTTCTTGACCCTAAAGGTTTTATTAATAAAGTCGATTACAATGGGCATGGACCAAGCGTAGTTCATACTAAAAGTTATTAATTACTTATAGATTTGTAATTTATTTTGAATACAGATTTGATAAATGATGAATAAGCGGATATTAATCTGATTTATATGATTATTATTGTATCTGATTTGAAACTGGGTCACTATTTGAATATGCAAACCATATTAAAGTTTACTTATACTCTTTTATTAACAATATCGATATTTTTTGTTCTGTCACACGAGCGTGGTCGAACTAATAATAACCCGAAAAATTAACGTAATATTCATAATGTTATAACTAATTCAAAATTAGTCACGATGTGATTCAGAATGCCTATAGACTATTTTAGTTTTGGACGCATGCCACACATCTTACAGTTCATAGTTATTTCATGATCAATTTCCAAATTAGGGGGTCGTCTCCAATTACATATTGATCTACATATTGCATAAATCGTATTCTTGATATTTTTATAAACTATTAACCTTAAATGCATCAAAAAAGTAATGGACACTGCTGATCATGGCTGATCATACGATCAAAATCGCGAAGTTATGAACGTGTCAATAAACAATACATATTTATAAATACTTTTTTTTTTTTTACAATTATTTTTATTGCCTTTTACCTTTTATTATTTTTTATATTTTTTGGTTTTAAACTGTTTTTTTAGATAATTTTTTTTTTGCCGTTGGTTCCTAGTGTTTTTGTATCTTTTTTTTTGTTTTTTTTTTCATTTAAAATTACTATTTTTAATACTTTTTTTTATTTATTGTTACTTTTAGATTTTAGGTTTTATTTTTTACTCGGTTTGCCGTTGGTTCCGAGTATTCAGTATCTTTTTTTTTTGTTTTTTTTTTCTTTAATTTAAAATATTGTTAATATTTTATTATAGTTTTTTAGATTCTAGACTTCGTTGGTTCCGAGTATTTGTATCTTTTTTTTTATTTTTTTATTATTTAAAAACTATCGTTTATCGTTTTTTTTTTATTTTTAGGCGGACCCAACCATGAGATACACCTTTACGTGGTGGTTGGGATAAGTAGGAGAATTAGTCTTCGAAATCAAATAGGAGAATTAATCTCCGAAACGAAGTGTCTCAATATTTGTACTATTATGTATATATAATTTTGTATAAATAAACAAATAAAAATTAATAAAGTTATAAAAATAAATAGTTTTGTATTTGAAATAAAAACTTATAAACTTGTGTTTAAAAATAATATATATTTTTTTATTTTACGAATGTGCATAATAAATGTTACTAAATACATTATTACTAATAATTTGAAAAGTTTGTTTGAGTCAACATTATGCTTTATTAAATGTTTTAAATCGATTTTTGAAAGTTAATTAGAGTATCGAAGTCAAAATATTTTGCCCAAACTTGTATTGCTAAATGCGGTAAAAATTGGCTAGATACAAAAATTATGGATAATTTATAATTTTATTGATCATTCAACGAGTTAGCTATAACTATTTTGAACCCAAAAATGCCACTACTAAAACTTCTGGCATAAATTTGGTACGTTACAGCCGTCATTCTTGCTGATAGTTTTAATGAACGATTTCGTCCCGTAACCCTTGATAGGCCACGAGTATGATTAGAGATTATTTCATACCTAACATTATTATAACGTCGCCTCAACCTTGTAGTGTCTTTTATCACTTTGCAACACACCACTCATTCACTCATTGACTATACCTTAGAACTTCTTGCAGTTGCTAGAGGCATATCTGTTTTGTAGAGAACACTCTAAAATAATATCAAGTAAGTTTTTGCATTTTTTATAATCTTAGCGATCGTATTCTTAGCATTATATAAATTAATAAAATTAGATAATTTTTCAATCCAGAAAGTCAAAATAGAGTCGATCATATTCTCCAATAAAAATAATTATTATTGTAACACCCGAAGCGCGTTCAGTTAGAGATGCACTGAGAATTAGATGCGAAACAGTTAATTAATTCCGATTTTATTCCCATATACGGTGATGTTGTATCAAATATACATTTAGACAAAGTATTGGATGTTCATAGGTAAATTTTATATGGATCTAATGTTTGCATTTTATCCAACTTTATTGTTATAATTAATTTAATTTTTATACGTATAAAGGGCTCGAAAAAAATCTGTTGATAATAATGCAATAATAATGATTCTATATATTTAGAATATTAAGAATATTTTATATTTAATGATTATATAAGTAGTTAAAGATTTTTCTTGATTAAGGTCTGAATTGAAATGTTTCATTAAATTTGTAATCTCATTTTTCAGATCTTTAGGTGAATCCCCAATTTTCGTACTAGATGAATGCGTTCATTGTGAAACCGTGGAGCTTTATCCGCGTAAACGTCGCATATGGAAGTATTCAAAAAGCATGCTGATGTTCAAATACGTAATGATCTTATCGATTATCAGATTGATATTTGTTCAGTAGAGGTAAATAAATTGGTAAATGAATTGATTATCCTGAATTTATCTTAAGTACCAGCTTTATTCATCGAGAATTTTGATTATCAAGATATTCAAAAGGATTTTTTTATGGTATTTTGACATCTGATTTATTGGGGAAAGCCATTTATTGCCATCTTGTTAAAAATGTTTATGCTGCAATAGTACGAAATTTGCATGCATACGATGTCATCAGGTTTATAACAATTTATTTACGAGTGCCATTTGTTATATTTATTTTGTTTCATTGACCGAAAATATCTTTGTGAAATAAATTAGTATAGATGTATTGTCTCGATGGACTTCTCCTATTGTCTCAGATAGTAATCTTCAAGAAGGTGATAACTATGAGTTTATGTGTGGGCATATTTATAAAGAGAAAGATGTTTTGTTATCAAGGTAATTGATTTTTTAAATAGTTGAGGTTTTAATTGTTTATATTAGTAATACTTATTTCTTTACAATTCAATTAGATCTTGCTCACTTGGTGAGAAAGTATTGATCGGTGCCGGTTCAGAGATTGCTGAAAATGTTAAGACAACAAATTCTGCCATCAGTCGAAGAGTTATAATAGGTACTTTCCAAAATAATGAATAAAAATGAAATTTGAAACAGTGATTAAGTATTTGTTATCTAAATTAAGGTTAAACATTGAAATAGTTGGTGCTTATATTTGGGATGACGTAAAAATCAAATAGTTCTGTATTCCAGTCAATACTGGCAAATAACGTGAATGTCATCGTCAAAAAAGGATGTATACTTTCTTATGGTGTAAGTAAATTCTTTGATATTGATATGAATTTAAAATTGCGGTTTAATTATTAACTCTAGAATTTTTAGGTAATTGGACCTAATGTGACATTATAATCACATACAAACCTCACAAAACAGAAGAAAACGGAGATTGATAGTGATGAGGAAGAGTCAAATGAAAGTGGTTAGTAACTATTAATGTTGATATTCTTTAACTAATATCTTTCTAATGTTTAAATTAAAATTACAGTTGTAGTTTATGACACTACATTAGTTGGTGAAAATGGTAAGGATATGTTTGTAGTGATGAGATATCAGATGCTGATGCTAATAAACTTGATATAAAGAATATTCAAGTTGCGGGACTTGGTAATTTAATAATAAATTTGAAATGTATAATTTATTGTACGGCTGATGCTGAAATTTGGACCCATTTTGATAGGAATTTTTAAAAAATTTTGGGGATATTTTTTCCCGCTTTTTTTTTTTATGGTTGAGTTAATGTTTAGGTTAGAATTGATAATTAAAGAGTATGTGTAGATTTTAGCAGTGCTTATATTTTTAAATCGCGACCCTAAATTTCAGCATCGCGACATTTATTATTTTAAATGGGAGTATGATTAATTCCTATTCATTTATCCTAGCTTATGATATCCAATATATCTCTTACTGATAGTGATTCTCCGCCATCAGTGAAGAAACTTTAAAAAACTTCTTCAAAGAAGTTTCCCAACCACTTGAACGAGCTTTTTCTGATGGTCATACAGTAAAGATTGCTTATTGGAATTAAATGCTTTGAGAATGGCTTCAAATACAACGTTTCATAAATTATGTGTTAGTGTAATGCCTACGATATTAGGGCAAATCAATATTGACAATTTTTTAACTAGTACAGAAGATGTAAATATGGTTCAATATCAGGATTGTCATATTTATATATATATGGAAGTGAGTCAATAGAAAAGGGACAAATCATTTTTAGTGAAATTCTTTTAATTTTTAAATTTAAATAACTCAACAATTATTTAATCAAATTTGCTAAAAATTTTTTTATTTTAATTTTGAAATTATATAGAATTAAAATAAATAAAAATTTATCAGAGTTAATAAAATAGTTGTTAAAATATTTAAGCTTAAAGTCAAGAAAACTTTTACTTAGAAAAAATTTGTTTCTTTTCTATTGACTTTCCTCTATATATAGGTCATCTCATTATTTCTGATACATTATTTTATTTTTTTTTTTAAATATTAAAGTGAGTACTTGCAACCCAGGATTTTATTGATAGTATATTTGACTAATGGTTGCATTACAACTATAGGAGGCAATCATGGAAAGAGTGTACAACTAGTCATTTATACAACTTTAGTCATTGTCTAATTTAAGTAGTCTACTCAAAGGTTCTACACTAGCTACCATATCTGGAATCTACTTATAGGTTCCCTATTTAACCACTCTGTTTTTGTATTCACCCACCTACCTCTGCTTACTAACAATCCTAGCTGATGTTGATGCAAATATGTCATAACCACTAAGTCTTTAAAGCAGTTTTTTGGAACCTTTGACCTTATATTAAACCTTCCAGAATTTTCTGTATTCTATTTTTACAGTTGATCCGATATTGCTATAGTTGAGACCAATATTGGCAGTCAGGACATATCATTAAACTGCTATGTCTTTATAGAGTTTATCCCAATTCCAATACTAACATTACAACATATTCTTACTACTTTGATATTCAATTTAAGTTTCACCAAGCTGTCATTTCAGATAGTCTGAACAGGTAGGTCAAAATCATACATCTCTGGTTTATATGTTTGCTAACATGTACTCTTTTTCTCTAGAACCTAGAAATTTCAATGACCTGGTTGGTTCATCTGGTCTCTCCTCAAAGACTGGCATATTTGTCCAGTTTCACAAGTTTTAGTTTCATTTTATAAGTCTAGTCTTTACAGTAGCACTGTCTAAAGCTCAGGTTATCTCTTTACTCAGATTTTTCAAGTGGGTTTTTAACTTCTTCTTTTGGTTCCTATGATTTACATGGCCATGAGAACTTATTGTAGATTTGTACTCTCAGTATGGTTTGCATTCTTTTATATAATCACAGACCTTGTCCCAAAGGACAATGTTATGTGACTGTTATACAAATGCTATGTGACTTGCCAGTTATGCTGATGCAATATAAATAACAGGTGTCTTATTCCAACTAATTGTGAGAGATAGTTAACTATAATATAAGAAGAATTTTTAAATTTTTTTGTCAATACTGAAATTTGAATTCTGAACTTGTCACTTGGGAGTTGACAACCTGACCACTTTACTAGGCCATCACACTCCTCTTCTGATATATTATATTTTATAAAATAAATTAAAAAACTTATTAAAATATTAAATCTAATGAATGTTATTTTAAATTATATATTTTTAGGATTATATATAGGATATAGACAATAGAAACAGTTCATTTTTACATTTTTTGCAAATTTGTTTTTTCAATTTTTTAATAGATATACTTAATAGAAAGATTTTTATTATAAGTCATAAGATCAAGTTGTATAATAAAAAATTTAAGAATGGCAATCTTAGTGTAGTGGTTGGGTTGTCATTCTCTAAGTGGCAGGTCTAAAGTTCAAATTCTACTTATGATGAAATTTGAAAATTATATCTGTGTTACAAAAACTATCTCTTGTCGATCAGTTGACCTTATATGGCTATAACCCAGGTACACCAAGTTGGGTCTTGCCAACATTGAGAGCTTGGGGCATCTATGCAAAGTGTAACATTACATATACATAGAGGAATATTAATAACCGATATTGCATAAGACTTTGGTGCAGATCCATAATAAGACCACCAAGCATAGAAGACTAAGAAACTGAGAAGATGAAATCCCACTTGGAAATTCCTGAGTAAAGAGGTAACACAAACTTTTAACAGTACTGTCAGACTGATGAAAGCTCATGAAACACCTTCATAGAAACTGAAGATTAAAACTGAATGTCAAGATGTGTAGAGATCATATGACTAACCAAACTACCTGATTCATCAGAAGAAAAGAATACTAAGGTATACCATCCTGAGCCATCTGGATTCATAGTCTGAAATGAGACTAACAGTTCTGAGTTGCAGTTAGTAAGAGATAATAGAAAAGATGTTGGAAAGATAGGTACTGGGGTTTGGATGAACTTTACAAAGATAAAAATAGTATAATGTAGTGATTTAAGGTTAGCACTGACTGCAAGTATTAGATAACTATAATGTATTACATAAAACTAGATTAGCTATGTGTAAGACATGAAAGGCTCTAGTAATGATACTTCTGTGGATATACTGCATAAAATAAAATATAGGGTCCTAAGGAGTGGTGCTCATTTTGCTGACAATCACTTCAATGACAGCCTATTTCACCAATAGTCAATTTGCTGACAAGTTTATTTCACTGACAGTTATTTCACTGACAGTCATCTTACTGACAAAGTAATTCTGGTCATTTTCGTTAGAATCAGTTGGAATTAGAGTTAATGTTAGTGCAACTTTAAAAAACCCTTGTTGGTGAAATAGGCTGTCAATGAAATAGTTGTCGGTGAAATAAACTTGTCGGTGAATTGATTGTTGGTGAAATGGGATGTTGGTGAATTGATTGTCGATGAAATAATATGTATCTGTCCTAAGGATACAGGTAAGCATCTAGATCTTCTTGACTAACTTATGTAGTGAAAATGATCTAGTAATATAGTAAGGTTGCAGTACAGAAGATTTAAATAGGCAATACCCTTAGTTGGGTTGCAGGTATGGCAGCTAGTGTAGAACCATTAGCAGACTACTTAATTAGACACCAAAAGTATATATGTAACTAGTTGTATTCTCTAATGTAAGGAGACTTCTTTAAGGCTTTAGCTATAAGTCTCTATATCCTAACTATATTGAATAAAAAGCTCCAGCTTCAAAAGAAGCTAGTTCAACAAAAAAAAATAAAAATAAAAAATCTATCAATTACAAAAAACTAAAAAAAGTATATAAATCTAAAAATAGAAAATTAAGATTTTCAGATCAACAAGAATATTCTGGAAATGATCTTTAAAATTTTTATAATTAGTAATAAAATTACTTTAACTAATTACCTTTAATTACCTTAATTTATTTTAACTACTTTTAACTACTTTAATTTATTTTAACTACTTTTAACTATCTTTAATCTATTTTAACTACTTTTAACTATCTTTAATCTATTTTAACTACTTTTAACTATTTTTAATCTATTTTAACTATATTTAACTACCTTTAATCTATTTTAATTATTATATTAAATTTTTATTTATAATAATTTTTTTAAATTAGTTTTTTATCTAATTAAAAAAAATTTACTTTAACATTAAATTTAGGTAAATTGAGTCAAGAATAAGTAGTGGCAGTTTTTTTTTAAGTTTAATGAACCTAATTAAAAAGTTATTAACTACTGTATTTCATAGGATGAATGTTGTAAATTGATTTTATAAACATAATAATAAATTGGTTTAGTAATATCAGTTATGTATAAGAGGAATATACACCAAATTTGTGATTATAATTAAATAGTTTTGGTTCAAAAATTACTACTATTAGCAAAGTCTTTTTAAGCTTCAGTAAATTGAGTTTAAAATTATTAAAGTAAATTTTTTTTAATTCCAATTAAAAAAACTATTAGTATTTTTTATCATTAAAGTAAATATATTATAAATAATCTTTACAGATATAATAAAGTAGTAGATTAGTTATAATAATTATGTGTAAGGTAAAGATATATAATAAATTTGTAAAAATAATTCAGTTTTTTTAAGTAAATTAGTTTAAAACTACTTTTAATAAAGTATTTCTTTTTAATTTTAATGAATTGAATTCAAAAGTTATTAATAAAGATTTTTAAATTTTTGTAATTGAGTTTAAAATTATTATAATGAAGTTTTTTTT